GCGTCGACTGAGGCGCGGGCGTCGGCGGCGGCGGCGGCGGCGGCGGCGGCGGCGGCGGCGGCGGCGGCGGCGGCGGCGGCGGGGCTGGGAACGGCGCGTCTTGCCGCCGAGTTGGCGGGTCGGGCGCAGAGCCGCTGCTGGCCGGAGGCGGGCCGGCTGGAGGGGAGGGCGCTGTCGCGGGCCCTTCGTGCGGCGGCGAGCGTGGCGCTTGCGGCAGCGGGTGCGGCGAGGCGGGCTGCGGCGAGGCGGGCTGCAGCGAGGGCGGGTGGGACTCGTATACTGGGCTGATGCAGACGAGCTTCGACGCTCTTTTCCCCACGAGGTGCGGCGAGGAGGCCGCCAAAGGCGCTCTCCGCCTGCACGCGGCCGCCGCCGAGGAGCGCCTCGCCGCCGCCGCCGCAGGTGCGACGAGGTGCACGCCCTGCTCGTGCTTTCTCGGCACGCTGCTCTAGCCGCGAGCCAGCGCGAGCCGGGGGCGGAGGGAGGCGCGTACTCGCTGCTTCGGCCTCCTCCTCCTCCTCCTCCGCCGCCGCCCAGCTGGTTTGGGGCGGCGTTTGCGGAGGCATCCGCCGCCGCGACGGCGGCGGCAGCTTCGGCGGCGGCGGCGCTCGGCGTACCCTCCGCGGAGCGCGGGGCGGACGCCGATGCAGGGTGAAAGGTGCGGCTTGGTGCTGTTCACGAGAGAGCAGCCTGTGGCGTTTTTTCCTCGTCCGCTCTGTCTTCTGATATCTGATATCGGTACGTATATATCACGCAGCCGCACCCCACAGGCGGGGCCGCACACAACACGCACACACACACCCACATTTTTCTGAGAGTTCCGATCGGGCGAGCATGACGGCCCTATCTACCCCGGTCACTGTCAGTGCGTCGCGGCTTTGCTCCTGGTCCTGCTGCTGTGAGCCCCCGGCCCCGCTCGGCGCGAGGGAGAGGTGCCACAGTCACTCGCGGCGAGGCATTCGCGTCGCCGCGTCCACCTCTCCCACACAAACGGCGTCCCCCACTGCAGGGCGTGCGTGCGACTGAGGGCGCGCCGGATGGCGCAGTACTGCGGCACGATCGTCCGCACGCCGTCGCCGGGGTAGTTGTGCGTCCCAAACTGAACGACGCCGAAGCGCTGCGCGAGCGCGCTGCGGGCCGTGAGAGAGGAGAGAAGCTCGTACTCGCAGCCCTCGCAATTGAGGTGCAGCAGGTCGACCCGCCTCAGCTGCAGCGTGCGCAGCGTCTCCTCGAGGGCGAGGATGCGCAAGAGCTGGCTCCCCCGCCGCTGCGCGTCCTTGGGGTCCGAGACGGCCACGGCCGACTGGTACGACGTGCCCTGCCCGGCCGTGCGCCCCGTCAGCTGCATCGTCGTCGATCGGTTGCCGACGCCAAAGTTGTGCAGCGCGAAGCCCGGCTCGCGATGAAAGCGCCGGGCGAGGAGGGCGTAGAAGGAGGGCACCGGCTCGAGCATGTGCACAAAGCAGCGGTGCCGCTTGCGAACGACGCGGCCGTCAAAGCCGTCGACGTTCGCACCCACGTAGAGCATCGTGCAGTTCCCTTCTGGCAGCAGAGAGCCGAGGCCGTTAAAGCGCTCGTTGACGAGCGCGTCCCACAGGAGCGCGCCCGCCGCGTTGCGGCGCTTTGTGAAGTAGTGGTGCGGGTGCAGCTGGCCGTCCGGCGTCGTCGGAAGGTGCTCGAGGACGTCCGCACAGAGCGGGTCCATGGCGATGTGGCTGAGAGAGAGAGAGAGAGCAGAGCCTCGAGACGACAGCCTCGAGACGACAACGCGGACGGCCCACGACACAACCGGCCAGCACGCGCGGCCGAAGGGATGGATGGCCGCCCCTCGCTCGGCCCCAGGCGCGCGGTAGAGATTCAGGCCGACCGCGTTCACACCTCGCTGCGCCTTTACCGCTACCGCCAGAGGCCGCCCCTCTCGCCTGTCGTCTGCTTTTCTTTTATTTTCTTTCCCCTACCTTGGGATCGTGTTGGGTATGTTGTTAGCAGATCAAGACACAGACCTGGGATCCCTGAGGCCAGACCATTTTCTTTTTTCACGTATCTCGTGGCCTCGAGAACGCAGAACGCACGCCCTGTCTGGTATGGCCCCACCCAGCCGACCAGCTGTGAACCTCGCGGGGGCTCGGGTCTTGCGGACCAGCTCGCGCTGCTCCTCCCTGGGCTCTTCCCACAGTAGCAGCTGTGAAGCGGATGCGGCTTTGCGCAAGAACTCGTCAGCCCGTCAGTCGAAGCATGAGCGACCGGCGCGGGTGCCCTGAGGGAGGGTGTAGAGGATGTAGAGTGTAGAGCGCTGTAGAGCTGTAGAGATGTAGAGCGCTGTAGAGCTGTAGAGCTCTACATCCGCCGCGTGACGATGCGCCTCCGTTGTAGAGCGATGTAGAGCGCGATTTTGCTGTAGAGTTTGTTGTAGAGGCTCTACAGCCAAACCGCCGGGAAGGCAGTGACTCAAAGAGGTCGAGCCGCGCTAATGGGGTGTCTCCGAGCTTACTGGAGCTCTGATGGACAGCCCTGACTATCCCTGACACACAGAGAGTCACTCCGACGGCACACAACACCCTATAACTGCGTCATGACCAGCCTGCCATGCGTCGCCGGTGCCGCATTCGTCGCAGTGCTCCTGTAGCAGGCGGTGGACTGTCGGCTGCGAGGACGGTCGCATTTGCGCGAGGCGAGGCGATCATTGTTGAGCGTTGCATGAGCCATGACTCGCGCCAGCGCGTGCGGGAGCTCCTGGCTGAGCGTTGAGTCCAGGCGAGTTGCGCTGGCCACTATCGCTACGCCGAGCCGAGCTGACGCGCCGAGGCGCCGGCCAGTCGCAGCCGTGAGGCATGCCATAGCAGCAGAGGCACCTCCTACCCATTGGGCGGGCAGACAGAAGGCCAGGGCAGCACTGGCAAGTGCAACGCGCCTCATGTCGGAGAGCGACCGTGCCTCGTTCGCCGCTTATGATGTAGAGTTTGTTGTAGAGATTTCACGTTGTAGAGCGCCTCTACATCGCTCTACAACGGAGGCGCATCGTCACGCGGCGGATGTAGAGCTCTACAGCTCTACAGCGCTCTCCAGCTCTACAGCTCTACAGCGCTCTACACTCTCTACATCCTCTACACCCTCCCTCAGCGGGTGCCGCGCCCGCCGCTCGCCAGGCGATTGCCAACTTTGCCGCCGCGCTCTACTTCTAGACTAGCACCGTGGAAGACGGCGGCCATCCGCGCGTATCTAAGTGTGCGTGTCCTAAGTGTCGGTGTCTGCAGCCTCCTCGTGGTACGTGGAGCCTAGCAGTAAGGCGGCCGGCGGTGGGGCGAGGGGGGGGGGGGGGTATGGTCCCGTCGGCGGAAGGCTGGGTCTGTCAGCAGGCGGGGGGGTATGGTCTCGAGGTGGGTTGGTAGGAATTCCCTATTGTGATGTTAGAGGTGGGTTAAGAGGGAGATGCGCGCGAGCTGCGTGTCTTTCCCGCTGCAAAACCCCCTACCCGCCTGGAATTCCTGCCCAGCAAAAAGTCCGAACCCAGTGGCCGGAAGCGCGCGCGCCGCCGCAAGACTCGTCAGCCGTCAGTGCGAAGCATCATGAGCGTCGACGCCGTCCTGAGCACCGACGAGCTCCTCAACGAGATCCTCGCACCGCTACCTCTTCAAGACCTGCTCAATGCGAAGCAGGTCTCCCGTCGCTGGCGCGGACCTGCCGCCGCCTCGCTCGACGCGACGATGGCGCGTGCGCGCTTCTCCGCCTGCGTCGCCGACTCGTCCGCGTTCAAGACGCTCGTAGATTACGCTACATTTCTCAGCGGCAGGGTGTCGAGGCACACGGTGTCGTGGAACGCCATACCCATTCGCAACCTTCTCACGACGGCCGGCAAGCGGGCTCTGCTCGGGGGAGAGCACGGCGTCCACCCCGCGGTGTGCCGGCTTGCCACGATGTTCGAGAATGGGCTGCCGGGGCATGTGCAGGATAACGACAGCGGGCGTGCCGCGCCGATCATCGGACTGCTGGCGCGGCTGGTCGCGGGAAACGTGGGCCCACACTTGATCATCGCTCACAAGGAGGCGTGCGAGTTTTGGCGCGAGTCCATCGCTTCCCTGAGCAGGCTCGACGTCACCGTCGCTGACGAGACCGTCCCGCCGGCGCAGCGCAGACACATGATCCGCAGCTGCAGCGGTGGCGTGCTGCTCACCACCTACTCAGTTGCGGTGCGAGACCTGCAAGAGCTCACGCGTGCTCACCCGAAGACGGCCACCTTTGATCACGCGTACCGCCACCTGTCGACCTGCTTCCAGCCTGGCACAAGCGCGAACAAGCTGTATACTCGCCTCGGCTCGGATTACTTCGCCACCCGCATCACCACCGGCAACTCGGGCGACTCTCTCTCCGCCGCTGCTGGGAGCTCGCGATGAGCAACCTAATCCTGGCACATTTGGGCAACATCCGTTCACTGGAGCACTTCGCCACCGAGGTTGTCGAGCGTGCCGGTCGCTCCGCCGCAGACTCTCCAGACCGCGACCTGGAGCCTTTCGTGCGCATGGCTGTCTCGGGCTGGTACCGTGAACTGCTCGCAAAGATGGGCTTCCTTGCGGGCAGCGCCGGGTCTTCCTCGTGAAAGGTGTTGGAGAAGCCCGGCGCGGCGTCTTGAGACTCGCACACACAATCTGTCTGCGAGAGAAGAGAGAAACGCGGCAGGCTGCGCTTGAGACCTACGGGCAGGGCGGAGAAAGCGCACACGACCGAGACCGTGCATATTCTCTGAGCATGTCCATCTGTCTGCCCCGCCGGGTGTTCTGCGTCTTTTCTCGATTTCGCGCGCCTCCTTATCGTCTGCCAAGCTCCTGCTTCCAGCCCACGAAAGGCCGATGTCGAAGCCCGTGCCCACCACGGCTCAGCCAAGCAAAAAGTACGTGGCTTTCAAGCGCAGCCAGCTAAATCCGGCCGTCAAGTCGCGCACCGCAGCGTTCCCGTCTATGCCAGACGCCGGCTCGCTGTCTATGCCAGACGCCAGCTCGCTCACGCCCGACTGGGATGAGCAGTGCGGGAAGTTCGCCTGCCCCAAGTGTGCTCCGCTGTGCGTGCCGATCCAGATGTTCAAGTGGTGCTTCATCATCCTGCTCGCACCGCTCATCGCCATTTGCCTGGTCTTCTCGTCGCCCCTCCTCTTCTGGGTGTCGGCGGGCAAGGACGCGGCAAAGGTGGCCGGCGGGAAGCCGGGCAAATTTCTCACGGCGGCCAGCGACGTGCTGTTCTGGCTCTTCATGCCTTTGATGCTGGAGGAGTACTGCATCTTCAAGATGACGGGCTACAAGGCCGTCCCGCTCACTTGGTACGGCCCCGACGGCGAGAATGGCGAGAAGTTCAGCATTGACTTCTCCTCCTTCGCCGCCTTCAAGGGCTCGTTCGCCAACATCTTCTGCGGCGAGTCAGAGAGCGACGATCAGTCCGGTGCGGGCCCCTCCGGTGCAACCTCGGTGGCGGAGAAGCTCGACCTGTCAAGCCACTTTGGGTCAATGTCCAGCCCCGGCTTCTCGGCGCTCGCTTGCTTCACGCAGCCGCTGAAGTGGTTTCTGGCCATTCCGCTCATCCTGTGCTCCCTCGTCGGCTTCGCCTTCACCATCTGGCCCTACATCATTGTCCGCAGCGTCGGCCCGAAGCCGGGCAACAAGTCGGCCGCGGGTCTCGGGTGCGTTTGCCTGGCGCTCACCTCCCCGGTCCTCGCGTGCGAGATTGGCGTCGTCTGGCTCATCGGGCTCAAGCTGCCCCCCCTGGGAACCTTCTGCTGCGAGTCGGTCGAGAAGCCGACCTTCAAGGATCTCATCAACCCCCTATCTGGCGCGAAGATCTACACTAGCACCGGCGGCGAGGCGGACGAGGCGGACGCTGCGACCCTCCTCTCGGATCAGATCTAGGAGGCAGTCCTACCGTGGAGCGGATTAGGACGACTGTTCAGTGGGGGCATGGGATGAGGGGGAGGGTGGTGGGAGACAGGCCGCATGTGGCGCTGCCGTGGGCGCTCTGATGCGCGTGTGTCGAGGCAGCAGGGGGGGGGTTGTGGTCGCTACGTAGAGTAACGTAGTCGCGTCGTGGCGACCTGCGGCAGCACCTGGGGCCCACTGCCGGTGGGGCGGCAGCGCCCCCCGCCGGCGGGCGTGTCCCGTGTCGGTTTCGAGCGTGCGCGCGAAGCGGTTCTCTTTTGTATATGTGGTGTGACACTCTCAGGTGGACAGAGGACACTCACGCGCACACGAGTGTCGACTGTCGTCAAACACCGAGGCGACGGACTGTTGTTCCTCACTGTGTTGTGTGCTGTGCGCGCGATCACATGCTGTTCATTTTTGTGTGGAGAGTGGAGGACCGAACCAATAATCGACCAGAGACACACACATGAACCGGGCAACCGCGAACCGGCAACCGCGGCCCCGGCCCCGGACGAGACGGATAGAGCGCGCACTGGACCCTCATGCAAACCCCCAGCGCGGAGTACCTCGTCAGGCGGCGGCGCCAATCGACCGGGACGCAAGCCGTCCCACACGGCACGCAATGGGAGAGGGGGGCATGCCCCCGGAGGTCCGCCGGGCGTCAGCGCGAGTCGAAGCTGGCGGAGGCGCGCATGTAGTCGTATGCTAGCTCGAACTGGCCACCTAGACACCGCGACAGGCCGGCAGCGGTCAGAGGGGGGAGAGCTGTCGGAGGGGGTGGGGCTCCACGCGCGGTGCTCGGCGCGCCCTTCTCACACGCTCGCACGACGGCGTTGTAGGTGATGCTGTCGCGCTTGACGTCGGCCGCCTGGTCGCAAGTCCGGGGAGTGGACGCGCGGCTCTCGCCCCCCCTCCCCACCTCCCCCCGTCGCCTCCATCGCGTCGAAGAGCCGAATCGCCTCGCGCCACTGCCCCGCGCGCTCGCAAGCCTGGATGGCGGCGTTGTACGTGATCGTGTTTTGCTCGACGCCGAGCTCTGCCATCTCTGCCAGCAGCGCGAGCGCGCGCTGCCACTGGCCGCCGCTGCCGCAGGCGGAGATTGCCGACGAGAAGACGACCTGCAAGGAGAGCCCGAGGAGGCTCCGAGAGAGTGCCGGAGGGGACACGGAGAGGAGGAGAGGGGGCGCCGTGTTGCGCTGCAGGCCGCGCTTCTCCATGCGGTCGAGCAAGCCGAGGGCGGTCCGCCAATCTCCGCCTTTCTCGCAAGCGGCGATCGCAGCGCCGTAGGAGACGGCGGTGGGGCGCAGCCCCTGGTTTGACATCTCCGACAGCAGGGCGAGCGCCCGCTCGGGCATGCGGAGCTGGCCAGCGCACGAGATGGCGGCGTTGTAGACCACCGCGTCGGGCGGCACCTTGCGCTCGAGCTCTAGTTGATAACGAATTAATCGCTAGTTAATGACTCATTAATCACTAGGGACCTTGCGCTCGAGCATCTGCTCGAAGAGAGAGAGGCCGCGCTGGGGCTCGCCATTGCGCAAGCAGCCAGAGATGGCGACGGAGTACGTGACCGGGTTGCGCTTGATGCCGGCGACCTGACCGCACACAAGCCGCGTGGTGGGGAGAGGGGGCCGTGCGGCGGCGCGGCCGTCTGCTGGCGGCGGCGTCTGCTGGCGGCGGCGGCGAGCCTCCATGTACGTAAAGAGCGTGATCGCCTTTTGAAGCTCGCCGCCCCGCGCGCACGCGTCGATCGCGGCAGTGTATGTCACTGTGTTTCGCGCGACCTGCCGCTGCTCCATCTCGCGAAAGTAAGACAGGGCGCCCTCCCAGTCGCCGCGGCGCGCGCACGCCGAGATTGCAGTGTTGTACGAGATGCCGGACGGGGACAGCCCCGCCTCCTTCATCGTGTCGAGGAGCTCGTGGACGCGCTCCTCGTCGCCCGCCGCCGCCGCTGCCGCCATCGCCGCGTTGAACGACACCACGTCCGGCGCCACCCCTCCCGCTAGCCCCTCACCGCTCCCCATCTGCGCAAAGAGCGCAAGCGCGCGGCGCGGCGCCGAACGCGAGCAGGCAGAGATGGCGAGGTTGAGGTGCATAGTGCGCAGCGGCACGCCGCTCGCCTGGGCGTACTCCACCAGCAGCAGCGCCTGCCGCCACCGCCTCCGCCGCTTCAGCACCAGCAGCAGCGAGGTGAGGTTGTGCGGGCTGAGAGACCAGCCGCCGAGCGCCTCGCCGATGCATGAGAGCGTCGCGTGCGGCTTCAGCACCTGCAGCCGCAGTGCCGTGGCGAGCATGCGGCCCTGCGTCGTGTTGCGCTGCGCGGCAGGCGCAGATCGCTGCGCTCTGCTGCCGCCGCCACCGCCGCGCTCGGAGTTGGCCGGCGAGCGCTGCGCTCTGCTGCTGCTGCTGCTGCTGCTGCTGCTGCTGCTGCTGCTGCTGCTGCTGCTGCTGCTGCCGGCGACCGCCAGCGAATCACAGGTTCGGACCACCAGCGCTAGCGGACGTGCCGGCGTTACTGGACTGCGGGGAGGCGCGAAGCTCAGCGTCGCGAGCAGCAACATTGCGAGATAAAGATAGAAAAAGAATTCCCCCGTGGTTTGTTTGTTTTCTCTCCCAGAGGAGTACGACAAAATAGCGCCCGTGATTGCCTGCACGCTACCCGCACTCACGGACTCCATACCCGAAAGAAAGAGAAGGGAGCTCGCGGGAGAGGTGACGAGTGAACTACAGGTAGTGGGGAAGGCAGCCTCGATTGCCATACAGACATGGGTGCGAAACAACGACAAGACCAAGGCACGGGCAGAGGAACGAGAGAAGAATATAGGGTGGATAAAGCGCCTGTTCACGGCATGGAGGGTGAGCCACACCGAACGTACCGATCTCTGAGAGTTCACAAACCTTCATCTGTCTTGTGCGCCCCCCCCCCCCCGAGCATTAATGCGCATGCCCGACGGTGGCATAAGGATTAAGGTGCATCAGGGATACCCGACACAGTGCCTGATGCACCGTCACACCGGCACGACCGGCAGCGGCACCCGCAGTGGCATCCCGCCGCCGCGGGGGTCGGCCGGTGGGTCTTACACATACATACCTCCCCTCCTTCTTTCTGCACTCTGCGATGGGGATGATGGTTGTGTCGGCGAGCACTACGGTGTTAGCGGATTCGATTGCCTTATTAGGATGACTTCCTCTGTGGCGGGCGAAGGAGGCTGTCGTTTTGCCCTGCTCGGGGGTGGCAGCAAATTTTTGAGCTTAGCCTTCGATGTGGCGAACGCAATAATTTTTTGCCGCCATGTCGCTGCCTAGTCGCGGCGGCCTCCGCTACTGCGCCCGACCGCGGTTGCAGTGGCGCGCGTTGAGCATTGGCTCGCGGCTCCGCGAGAAGAACGACGCTTGGCGAGAGGCTTCCGAGGCGCAGCTCGAGGCGTCGCGCAAGGTGCTGGACAGCGACTGGAAGACGCACCAGCGGACGATGCAGGAGATCCGTGACGCGGTGCGCAACCGCGAACCGCTCACGCTGCAGGCGCCGCCGGCGGCGCTCTACGACGAGCGCGATGCCTTCTACTTTCCGGAGCTGCAGGCGCGCTCCCTGAACGGTGAGACGCGCTCCCTCTCCGCCTCGGACGCGTTTGCGCACCGCTTCTCCCTCGTCGGCTGCGCTGGCTCGCGCTTCTCCGAGGCGATGGTGGAGGGATGGCTGGGCGCCTTTGAGCAGGCGGCTGTGGGCGAGGCCGCCGCCGCCGCAGGCGGCCGCGGAAGTTGCGACAGTGGTAGTGGCGGCGGCGGCGGTGGCGGCGGCGGCAGCAGCGGAGGCGGCAGCGGAGGCGGAGGAGGAGGGGAGAGTTCGCCTCTGCCTCAGGTGCTGCGCCTCTCGCTGGCGGAGGGCACGGCGCTCAGCTGGCTGCGGTGGCCGCTGCTCGCCTCCATGCGCGTGTCCGTGCCAGCCGCGCGGAGACCGAGCTTTATGGTTTGCTTTGGCGACTTGACTGGCGCCCGGCGAAAGATGCGGATGGAGAACCGGTGCGAGTAGGGGGCAAGGGACGACTCTCTCTCTCTCTCTCTCTCTCTCTCTCTCTCTCTCTCTCTCTCTCTCTCTCTCTCTCTCTCTCTCTCTCTCTCTCTCTCTCTCTCTTCTCTTCTCTTCTCTTCTCTTTCTCTCCCTCCCTCCCTCCCTCCCTCCCTCGCTTCTCTCGCCGCGTCCTTACACCCCTTGCATTCCCCCACCCCGCAGGTACCTCGGCTACGTCTGCCTCGTCGACCCATCCGGCGTGGTGCGCTGGCACGTCCACTCCTCAGAGCCACCGACGGAGGCGGCCACGGAGGCGCTGCGCGCGCTGCTGCCGCGGTGACGCCGAGATCTCCCAGATTCGTACTCTCGCCAGATGATTGGTTGAGCTGACGTCCCCCGTGTTGGCGACGAGCTACGCAGCGGTGGGCGGGACAAGCGCCTGCGCGCGCGGGCACGTCTCGCCCACATGTGTATCGCGACCTGAGACCAAAAAGAGTGTGTTTTGAGTTATGCTGTATCGTGTATGGGTGTCGCCAGACAGCAGAGTCTCTTTTCACGCGCGGCATAACAAAAGCGCAGCAATCCCTCTCCTCCCCGGCACCCTCCATTCCCTCTGCTGACAACGGCGGTTAGTTACCGCCCCAGGCCCCGGCCAAGAAGGCAAAATGCCAACCGCCCCGCCTCCCGCTTGCCCCCTCTCCGCGCCCCAGCCCGCCCGACTCGCGGACGGTCCTCACTCACACCTCGAGCCTCCCCCCCCCCACGCCGAAGTGGCTCGGCCAGGCGCGGCAAATCGAGACGCACCACGTCTCCACGCCCGACGCCGGAGCAAATCACTCACGCCCTGTACCAACCTTTCTCCGCGTTGTAGTAGATGCGACCGCTGAAGGCAGGCAGGGTCCCCGAGCCCAGATTCGTCGGCACGGCCGCGGCGGCCGCCGCGGGCGGCGGCGGCGGCGCGGCGGCGGCGGCAGGCGCTGGCGCCGGCGCCGGCGCGGCGGCGGCCGGGGCCTCGGCCGGCGCTGCGGCGCCCGCCGTGAAGTCAGCAAAGGCGGCGACGTCCTCCGGCTCATCGCACAGGACAATCATCGGGGTGCCCACCTGTGGCGGCCGAGGTCAACTCGGATTGCGGCCGAGGTCAACTCGGAGGGCGAGAGAGGCCCGGCGCTCGGCGAGGGTGCTGTCACGGCGAGGGTGCTATCACGGCTGGGGCTGGCAGGGAGGTTCGCGCCGCAACGTCCTGCGTGCCCTCAGGGATCAGGAACTTGGCGACGATGCCGTCGTCGACGACATCAAAGTCGACGGTGGCCTTGTCCGTCGATACCTCGGCGATGCGGTCCCCCGCCGCGATCGCGTCGCCGACCTTCACGAGGTACTTTTCGACTCCCCCCTGCGAGTGCGGAGCGGAGGTGGAGCAGATTCGGTGAAAGGGGAGGGGGGGGTTGCGCACGGCACCGGAGGGGGCGGCGGCGGCGGCAGAGGAGGTCGTCGGGAGGGAACGGAGCGCACTGGCGGCAGGCCGTACACACACATGTGTGCATGCACTCATGTTGCGGCGGGCATGCAGCAGGGCGGGGCTGTGGCGGTGGCCGGCGGTCCTCAGTCATGGTCGGCGAGAGGGCTGGCATGCCGAGGACGGTGTGTGGCGGGTACGCCAGCCCGCGCGCCAGCCGCGGCGTCGCCAGTGAGGCTCGCTTGGATGCTAGGCGCAGCATTCCAGACCCCGAAGATCGGCGAGGACTGGCGATGGATCCCGCTCATATTTTTCTTTTTCCCGAGAATAAGTCTCCCCACGCTCGAGGCGCTTACGGCATTTTTCTTTTCACTATGGGCGGCTCTGCTGTGGCTCGGGTTGACTCGGCCGAGAGGCGTGGGAGTACCTCGCCAGCGGCAGACGCGATGCCCACAACGAGCTCCGGGACGGCTGCGAGCCTCCTTGCAAATCGTCTCGCGGCGAACTGCAGCATCTCGGCCGTCGAAACAAGCATCGCGGGGCTGCAGGACGACATGGTCGCTGCGGTCTGCCGCGTGCTCGCCGGCGACCCGCTCTCTCCGGAGGCGGCGCTCGCGTTCGCCTCCACGTGCCGCTCGGTGAGGCGCGCGGTGGCGCCGGTCCTCGCCGAGGCGAGGCGGTGGCGCGCGCGCGCGGGCGTGCTCCTCAAGGAGGCGCACAGCGGCGCACCCTCTCTTCGCGGCGGCCAAAGCTGCGACGACCTCACGAGCACGCAGCAGCTGCGGCTGGCCACGGGCCTCGTCTTTGGGGACGCCGTCGTTGCGGATGCGAGCATCTGCGCGACGCTGGCTCACCTGATCGGCCGCCGCTCCCTCGACGGCCTCGAGGAGCTTCGAATCGAACGGGCGGCCGACGGGCGCGACTGGCGGCCGATCTGCTCCGCCCTGCGCGGCGGCGCGCTGCCCAAGCTCGCCTTCCTCGACCTCGGCAACAACTCTCTCGGCGACGCGTTTTGCGCCGCGCTCGCCGACGCCCTCTCTGCTGACCCGGCCGCGGTCCTCCGCTGCGTCTCGCGCCTCACCCTCAGCGCCAACCGGATCGGCTGTGCGGGCGCCGCGCGCCTCGCCGGCCCGGTGGCGGAGGGGGCGCTGCCGAGGCTGCAGTTCCTCGCCCTCGCGTGGAACCAGATAGGGGACGCGGGCGCAGAGGCGATGGCGGCTCGCGGCAAGCTGGGCACGTTCCGCCGGCTGGAGGGGCTCTACCTCCACGGCAACCGAGCCCTCTCCACGGCGGGGCTCGACGCGCTGGCCGCGCGCCTCACGCCCGAGCCGAGGCATAGCCAGATCGACGCGCGGCTCACGCTGGACGACCGACCGCCCGGCCCGCCTCTCTGGCCGGACGGGCCGTCTTGCGCGCTGCCATCCCTGCAGACGCTCACGCTGCCAAAGGGCCACGCGGAGCACGAAGGGATGCGAGTGGCGTGCTCCGCGCGCTGGCCGTACGTGCAGGTCAAATTCTGGTCGTGAGACTAAGAGAGGTACGTGCGTGGTGGTGGGGCGGGTGTGTTGGGGCTGTCCTGAGTCCCCCCGTCGTCCGCGCCGCGCCGCGCGCCGCCTGCGCCAATACGCATGCGCGCTTTCTTTTCACGTGTGCGCGGGGAGCTTCGCGAATGTCACACATATCACATTGTCATTTTGATCATTGTCAATCATTCTCGAACATGTGTGTGTGGCACGATTGTTTGCACAAACATGTTATACTTATAGCGTTTGCAGGCGGGCTTGCGCCTTGCGCGCCCACAGCCCCACACAAGGCGCACGGCGCAACCAGTGCCACTCCCACCACCGCGCCGCGACACCCGCCCGTTCAAAAAGCAAGGCCTCCACCCCCGGCAATAGAAGGGAAGTCTGATGGTGTTGGTGATGGGTGATGCGATGGCGCGCAGAAGAGGCGCCATTGCCTTTCACGGGCGCTGCCGTGCGTGAGCCTCAGCCAGCGATTTCAGATCCGTTGGAAACGCTCCGCGTGCTCGTTGTTCTTCTTGTAGTTCTCCTCGCAGAAGCGCGAGAAGGCCTGGAGAAGCGGCGGAGGCGGGGGCTCGAGCGCCTCGCGGTCTTCGGTGCCGCCTTGGTGGGCCTCGCCTAGCACACACAAACATTCTCGGGTCCGATGGCCGCCTCCCCTTTCGCCGCCGCAAGGCCCGGTGACCGATGCGCTGCAGCCACTCCGTGAAGGGCTCGTCCGGGTGCGACGCGAGGCAGTAGCACTCGAACCTGGCCCAGCGCGCGACGAGCTGTATGTGCGACCGTCGCCGGTCGGAGCAGAGTGCCATCCGCTCCGCCTCGCTGAAGGGCGCGTCGCCCGACGCGTCGGGGTCGGAGAGGCCGCCCCCAGACTTGAAGCCAACCTCACGCTCGTAGCGGTGCACCCGCGAGTCGGGCTGCCGCCCCCCCTCCGTCGCGCCGCAGCGCATCCACCGCTCGCCCGCCCAACGCCGGTAGAGCATAAACTCCGGTCCCACCACGGGCTGCTGGACGCCGGTGTGCCTGGAGGGGCGGGGGCGCGGGGCGAGTGGGCTGCGCGGGGGTGGTGGTGGTGGTGTGTGTGTGTGGGGGGGGGGGGGGGGTGCAGGGATCGTTGGTTGGGCGGGGGAAGCGAGATCCTCCGGCTAAAGCTCAGCTGACGCCCAAAGCTGAACTGCCTGCCAAACCGCTTGCGCCGCGGCGAGAGCACCTCCTCCTGCTCCTCTCCGCCGTCGCCAGTCTCGTCGGCGAGGGCGAGGGCAAACTCAGCCCCCTCGTCACTCTCGCTGTGAGGCTGCCCGACGGAGAGGCGGTGCGCGCCGCGGCTCCACAGCTCGTGCACCAGCGGCTGCCGGCGCATCCGCGCCGTCGCGAGATAGAACTGGCCATAGGAGCGTATGGTGGCCGCGCCGCCGGAGGACTTGCCCTCGCGCACCATGCGGCCGCGCGCGAGGGCCTGGATCTTCGATGCCGACTCCTCGACGCTGCTGTCCACAAACTCGACAGTCACGGTGCCCTCATCGTTGATGGATGTCACAAAGCCAACCTGCCGCGGGACAAGAGGGAGGGGGGAGGACCGTCCAGTCTGGCGGGCCGCTCTCGTGGGCACGCTGGGCGGGACCTGATCGTAGCGCTCGTGCTCGTCGTTTACGACGCGGACGAGCTCGCCCTCGCGGTACTGGTACTGTTTGTCGGGGTCGGGAGAGAAGCCCGCCTTTTCCGGCGGCGGGGCCGCGAGATCCGGCCGGAGCGGCTCCCCGGCCGTCGAGTGCGTGGCGGAGCTTGCCGCCACGTCGATGTTGATGGCGGACTCCACGCCGACAGGGGGCGCACGGCCCGTCGCCGACACATCCATTTGTCGCCGGGACGCACGAGTTTGCAACACGGAAAAGAAGAAAGAAAAAAAGATTCGCGACTGGCACTGGGTTCGGGCTCGTAATGGATAGGGGGTCTGCTCGAAATCGACTCTAACTGGCACACCAGGTCTGGGTGGACGCAAGATGGGCGGTGCCGGTGGACAGAATTATATACAAAAACCGAAAAAAGTAAGGATATTGTGTCCGCCTTGCTTTGTTCCCTAACATCGAAGGCTAAGCTCAAAAAGTAAGGAATGCATCCATCATCGGCAACAACTGTATGACGTGTGAGTGTTAGAGTTGTTTGGTATTGAACGTGCGCCGCTCCCGCCGATCTCCCGCTAACGGACCTTACACGCCTGTAACCTCTCTTTAAGGTATTGCTAAAAATCTCTCTCTCTCACAACTGTGGGCGGGGCAGTCGGAGAAGGGGCAACTCCGTGCACTGACGGTCGGCCGTCAGAAAACACGCCTCCGACCAATCCTCGCTACCCAACGCGGCCAAAGGATATCCACCTCGAAAGCCGCGAAAAAAAATCTTCCCCGCCCACTCGCTCAGCCGGCTGTGTTGGCCTCCTTGGCTGGTGCTTGCTGCCTCTCTCGATGGAGGCACCTCTCCTCCCCGACAAGGGAAGGAGCGATACAGTGCAGCTGCCTCCGAGCCGCCTGGTGTCCGTCCCACCAGCGTCAGCGCCACCGGGCTCCGACAGCCTGCCTCGAACGCGGCGGCCAGCGTCGCCGTCCAAATTGGCCGCTTTCGAGACGCTCGGCGAGGGCGCGGCGAGGTTCCCGCGGCCGGAGCTGACGCGCGCCGGCTCGACTACCGTCGCGCCCGTCAAGGCGCCGCGCTTGTCGTCCGCCTCGAACATGACGGCGAGCGATGCGCTCGGCGGCGTGGGCGAGCAAGAGGCGAGCGAGAAGCATAGGGCGCTGACGCGGCTGCAGCGCGCGGTGCGGCACGTGATCCAGGACTGGCTCGCCTCCTGCTCGCCCGTCACCTTCCGCACCTCCAACCCCAAGCGGCCGTACCCGCTGCCCATCTTTGCGGACCACGGCTTGATTCAGTTTCCAGCGAGGAGCGACCCGGCGCGCTTCATCCACCTCGCCGACTCGCGCGAGCCGTACAAGTCGGAGGAGAGCTACTGCAAGTCGGTGCTCGACCTGATGGAGAAGCACTGGATGATGGAGCCCGCCTCGGTCCGCACACACACACACGTCCACGCTCTCTGCCTCCCTCCCTCTCTCTCGCCCGCTCGCTCTCTCTCTCTCCCGGCGCCAGCTGAGCTGACGTCTCCGCGGCGCTGTCAGGTGCTCATCTCGATCACGGGGGGGGCGCAGGACTTCAAGCTGCAGCCGCGGCTGCTCAAGGCCTTCAGGCACGGCCTCGCCAAGGCCGCGCAGGCGACGAACGCGTGGGTGTTCACGGGCGGCACCGACTCGGGTGCGCGCGCTGTGGGAGGGGGTGGGGGGCGGGTAGCGAGGGGGCGAGGAGGGGCGGGCGGGTGCGGGAGGGGAGGGGGTGGGAGGAGGGGTCGGTCGGCGTGGGCTCTCCGCCCTCCTCCGCCCTCCTCCGCCCTCCTCCGCCCTCCTCCGCCCCGGAGAGTAGCAGCGACACGTCCGCCGCCGCCCGCTGTTGCCGACGCGTCTCCCGGCACGCCTCACGCGGGCTTGGCTGCACACATGGTGTGATCACACATGGTGTGATCACACAATGTGTGATCACACATGGTGTGACGTGATGCCTCTCCTGCAGGCGTGATGGCGCTGGTTGGGGACGCGCTGTCGGACGCGCAGTGCTCCGCGAAGATGGTCGGGATATGCACGTGGGCGAGCGTGATGGGCAAGGACAGGCTCGAAGGCTGCTACGGCGGCACGAGAGAGATGGTGCGCGAGCGTTAGACGCGGGACGCGCGTACTCTCCCACAGTCGCTCTCTGAATACTCTGCACACCACCGTCTTCCCGCCCCGAGGTCGGCGTCTGTTCTCTTCGCGCAGGTTCGCGAGGCACCAAACAACCGCAACGCGGCCAACCTCGAGCCGCACCACACGTGAGAGAACCTCTCTCCCCGCCGAGGGCTGCCGCCGCGCTGCGCCACACCGGGGCGCGTGGTTCGGCGTGCGAGTAGGCACTTCATCATGGTCGACAACGGCGCCTCGCCGCAGGAGGCCTTCCGCGACGCCTTCGCACACTTTCTCGGTGTGCCGACCGCGACGGTGGCTCTCGGCGTCGAGAGCGACAAGGGCGAGCCCCCCCCCCCCCCCCCCCAACCTACACACACACACACACACACCACACACACACACACCACCACCACCACCCTCTTCGAGTCGTCGAGGCGCCACTTCCCGCCGAGACGCGTCCAGTGGCACTGCGTAGGCAAGCCGCCCTTCAAGGTGGTCTTCACCGTGACCGCCTTCTCCGAGGCGGACAGCCTCGGCGCTCCCCCCCCCCAGATGCGGAAGATCTCCCCACATCTCCCCGTCTCCCGGGGCCCAGATGCGCAGCAGACTCCACCGCCCCGTCCTGCACCTCCACCTTCCCTCACCACCACCACCTCCTCCCCCTCCCTCTCCACCACCCTCCTTGCCCACAGCCACCTCACTTCCCACACCCAGAGGCGAAGCGCGGGAGCCTTCTAGGAACCTTCTCGGAGCCCTCTCGGAGCCCTTCTCTGGACTTGGCCGTAGGGATCCACCGCAAGCTGACGGGCCTCACCGCCGAGAAGGCGAGCTCGGCCGAGAGGTAGCCGAGAGGTAGCCGAGGCGCGGCCGAGGCGCGGCCGAGGCGCGGCCGAGGCGCGGCCGAGGCGCAGCCGAGGCGTAGCGCGAGGTATAGCGCGAGGGGCAGCCGAGAGGTGCAGCCAGGTGCAGTCAGGTGCAGCCCAGGTGCAGCCAGGTGCAGCCCAGGTGCAGCCGCGAGGGGCAGCCGAGATAGCGCGAGCGTGGTGCTGCCTAGGGTTAGGGTTAGGGTTAGGGTTAGGGTTAGAGATAGCGCGAGCGTGGCGCTGCCTTCTCCGCCAACCGAGGCCAACCGACAGTCGGGCGAGGGCTGGATCACAAACTTGCGAGCCACCCTCAGGCTTTCGTGTACTAATTCATCTAACAAGCCCCCCTCAGGCGTCCTCCGTGCTGCCCTCCGCCATCGAG